GGCATTCTACAAGATAGGGAAAAATTAGTTTTCCTAGTATGAGAAAAATCAATGAAAGTAAAATTTAAGACAAACGCAAGTTTGAAGGGATAAAATTGAGACATTTTATCCAGAATCTTTTTAAGACTTAATATTTAGAACCAGATCTTTTCATTTGTTAGTTTTGCCTTGGAGGTACAACAAACTAAACAGAAGTATGCTTCTATATTCTAAAATCATGCCAAATTCACCTCTTCCAAATACCTGTTTAACACCACCACCACCCACCCACCCTATAGACATGTTGCTCGTATATACCTTTTTGCTTCTCCTTCCATCTACTTTTTCCTCCATCACAAACAAGTTGTTTGTCTTAATTTAAAATTAAAAAGCCATTTACTGTTTCTCCAATCCATCCATCCTCTCAGTATTAATGGGTAACCTATCATCTTTGATCTGCCCATTTACATTTATTTTAAAGCATCTTCTACTCTGGCAGGATAACCCTTATAACAGCTGCCTCATTGCAACTATAAAAAGAACAAAAAAACCCACAAGTGATTGGCACAATTGAGTGCAAGTAGTTTTTTTTCAAACCAATTTGCAAATCTCTTCCTTTAGCAAAGCCATTCTATAGCAATGCAAACATCATTAGCAATGCAGACCATAATGACTAGGAGTCCTAGTGGGAGACCAGGACTCAACTGTTCTTTTTATAGCAGCCTCATAGTTTGTCTAAATTCCTCCTTTATTTATTAGTAGTTAAGCTTCTGATGTTTAAGAACTACCAGTTAACATGCCTAATAATGTTAACACATTGTCCTTCATCCTCCCCCCCCCACACCCCTTTCAATATGTTTTTTTCATAAAAGAATTGTAAGCTTTTTGGTAGATACACATTCTAGTATATAAAATGCATAGCACAGTTGAGCCATGGTCTCTGACCAGGATTCCTAGTCATTATGGTAATGCAAACATTAGCCTTATAATGCTGCATTGCTAAGAATATAGAATGGCTTTGCAATATTTTATAATTAGTTTGAAAAACTTCTCGCACTTGGCTGTGCCCATCATTTGGGTGCTTTTTTGGTTTATTTGTTCTTTTTATAGCTAGAGTTGCATTTCTTGGGAACTGGTAGGTTAAGAGGTACTTTTAAAAATGAAAATGACATGGAAGACTTTATGACAAAAGGTAACTGCAGCAACATAAAACTTCTTCCTTGTCATTCTCTCTTAAGTGCACATCTGAATTATTTGTACAAGTTACATTCCATATGACATAGGTAGGTGCGAATAGAGCTTTACTTGGCCTTAAAAACAGCAGACAGTATAGAGGTCCATACAGGAGTTACAAGAGACAACCTTTAAAGTCCTTCGTAAGGACAGTTGAGGAATTAATCTAGTCTTATGATGGACTTAATCTTTGTACACCAGAAGAGAGACCATAGAAGCAAAACCAAAGAAGTGACTAAAGAGGCCTGCATGATTAGTCATACTTCATTGCTTCTCCAAAGCAAGGCTTCTATTTTTGTACCTTGACCCATCAGGAGTTAAATTTAATACACATTTTTGAAGTACAAGGCAAAAGAGAGGACTAAAAACTTCAAAACCAGGCAGTCTTAGGTCACTGTAGCTTAACCCAAATTGGACCTTCACTGATCATCTGGTTTTACTGTAGTCAGTGCAATAGAAGTTAAAGCAAATCAGTGACATCCTCCTTAAGGCAAGCTTGTTGACTTCTGTGAAAAACAAAACTACAGATTTGTTTGTTGGCAGATAATTTAAGAAAAGCCGACCCATTTCTTTTGGGATCTGTTACAACATTATAGAATGCAGCAAATGCGTTTCTCAGGGTGCAAAAACAATCTTTCCGTTTAAGTGTCACTGCACTGTTACTTTAGACATCTGGCAATTCTGGGATTGTGGTTGGCCTGCTGCAATAAAAACAAAACCACATTACTTTCCTGTGTAGTCTAGTTCATTAGACTAACGGCTGTTTTGGGGTTGGGGAGGGAGTGGGAGGGGACCACCATCTGAAATACAAAGCTAAAGCTTCAGAAGCAACAATAGCTGCTCATATCCAAAAGGTTTTGCTTTCCCTTCTTGAAAATAAGCCTCATCTCGGAAGCAGAATCTTATAGCTTCTGGGCAACCTTCATTGAGAGATCCCTTTCAGGGATCCTAGAGAATCAAACCCTTCTCTCATCCAGGCTGCATTCAGTATGTCCAGGGCTACCAGTAGTTTGATAGCTTGGGGAAGTTAGTTTGTATACCAATGTAACTTCGAGGGTGTTAAAAGATCATACAATTAGCTTTCTCCTGTCCTGCCAACAAAACCCTTCAAAAGGAGGGCATCATTTCCCAGCAAAAAGGAGTCCCAGTATTTGGATTTCTTCAAGGGTAGAACTTCACCATAAACAAAATCTAGGTCTTAACACAATAGGCACTGAATTGTCAGCTACACAATTCCAGGCACACACACCTCTATTAATGGCAGTACTCATTAGGGATGCTCAGAGAAAAAAAAAAAAACAACAACAACTGAAATTTATTAAAACCTAAACGCTAAACCTCCCCCCCCCAAAAGGAACCAAAAGAGAGACCAAAAAAGAGCAAAAAAAGCCTTACAAAATTAGTAACTTTGCAATAACTTGTCACAACCCAAGGGTGTGATTTTTGTTTTTGTGGGCGCGCTTTGGCACCACTGAATTATTTTCCCGCCAATTCGTAGCTTTCTTTGCAGTGTGCATTTCTTTTTTGCAGCACAGAAATGCACTTTGCAAAGAGTTCCCGCCATTTGTATTCTAATTCAAGCCCCATTATTGCCTTGCGTGAAATTATTCACACGTGGCGGCTAGTGATTGGCTTGCTAGCCGTATAAAAAGCTTGAGTGGTTTCCGCCCAAGTTGGAGATCTCCGAGAATCTCAGGAGGATCTTGAGAACCCCGATTCCGAGAATTCCAGGAGAAATCCGAGAGAATTCCGGCAAGGAGTCCATGATTACCTCGTGGACTTCTACGTAAATCTCGGACCGACTGGTAGCCTAATCAACTACTAAGAGCCTCTCCCCATCGCCGTTCGCAATCCTCGACGTATCCCTCTCCCTGCGCACAAAAGGATCCACGGAGCCTAGCAAACTTCGTGAGAGAGACCCGAGCTTGTCATAGTCCTCAAACGAGGATTTAAAATCGGAGCTGTGCCTGGGAAACTGTCCAGCCTACACCGCGACCATCTTTGGTGTAAGTAAACAATCTTGAATCAACCATTACGCATCCGTGCCCAATTCTAGCGTGTCGCCCATTCTCTCCGATCCAGCGTGCCCAGGCTGCTGGCCACAGCCCGCGCGGAGCGAAAAAGGGCCCGGATCGCTCCCGGCCCGCACATGGCGGCATGGATGGGATCGGGAGTAGGCCCGCACATAACTAACTTGAGTGCTAAGGCAGTGAACCTCAATCTCAACCAGGCTACTGCAGCACAGGTGCCGTGAGATTCAAGGGTGCCACTCACTATTAGCACCATTTGGTGTGTGAACACATGCACATTATTCACAAGTGAAACTCAGATTCAAATAGTAAATTCAGTGTCAAAAAAAAACAAAAAAACTTTGACCTATTGTGGTCTCCGAGTTGTTTTCAAGAGAACTGCTCTATTAGTTTCTTGTGGTTAGAAAGTGAGCAAAAGCTAAAGAAATGGAATTTTCTGAGAAGCGACTTGAACCCAATGAGGTTGAAAGCCACTGAGCTAAAGAGCTTGGGATAGATATACAACACTGGGAAAGAAAGGGAGTTTAGGAGGGGAACAATTTGTCACCACAAAAATACTGACACTTGTAATTTCTCATTTCACAATGGAAGAGGGAGTAAAAATTGATTTTTAAAATCATTCATACCAGATGTTTAGAAGGAAAAAAAAAAAAAAAAAAAAGTACTTTGTTACCAGATCTCCTAAAATTAGCAAGGTCACATACAAGGTTTCTATAAGTTGCATCAGGCATTACAGGACATACTGGGGAGGAGTTTGCTAAGGGGCATGTTTAATTCCCCCCACCCCACAGCATGTGCATGAACCTACAGATCCTGTTGATACAAGGAAACATTCGTTCATTGAGGGCCTCCTGTCTTGGTTTTGGATGAGGTTGGAATTCTTCAGTGTTCTGTCACTGCTTTTGCCAAGCAAATTTCAGAACATCTCCATCTTAAAAAGGGACAGCCCCCCCCCCCCCCCCCGTCTGCTTTCCAAGCAAATAGCTATAAATCCCTTCTCAGTGTAGCAGTTGCCACAAAAAAGGTTGTAGTCAACTTAAAAGCATTAGGAAGGGACAAAACTATGGAAGGTTTCTACAAACAGAGTACATGCTCTTACAATGGGCTTAAGATTTGTGCATTAAAGAATGACATCCTATTAAATCAGGAGACAAAAGGGAAGGTTTTGCAGGATGACCACACTGCTTCACTGTGTGAAGATATACTGAATCAGGCTGAAGTATTAGTTGTTCAAGCTGCAATACTAGGTTATCATTTGAACCAGGGTAAAATATTCCTTTAGAGATTCTAGACAAAGTTGATTACTGTCTACCTTGATCCAGGGGGAAAAATATCCCAACTTCTTTCATTAGGGGGAGTTAGAGAAATAAAGAGGGCTGCTCCCTTTGCAATCTGGGAACCCATAGTTTGAAGGGGAAATAAAAGGAATCAAGCGATTAACATTCCTCCTTTACTTTCTTTGGTTGACAGCAAGAGATGCTGGGGTAATAAGCCCAAAAGCACAAGGGGTTCCTGGAACCCTCACTATGTACCATACATTGTTTCTGGAAGTAGCTATGCAGTGACCCTTTGGACACAGACCAAAAGGGCTTTTCTGAGAGAAGGAGTGGGGGAGAGAAGGAGAGAGATGTTTATATCTTCCAGTAGTCATTTTTCCATTATGGCACTTGAGCACAGAGCGGGAAGGGGGAGAGGACGGCATGAGTACTAGGAAAGCCGTGCGTGAGACCCCAGGTCACACTGAGGAACGTGCTTTACCTTTTCTGCTAGGTTTCACCGTCCTCATTTCACTCACTCTACAGTAGTGTTGCCACAGCTCCTGTAATCTGAGTCAAGTATTGGTGTTGTCAGACTGCCTGGGTTTTCAAATCCATCCCAGTTAGCTTGAGCTGAAGGAAAAAATAATGCCTGGCTTAGAAAAGGACCATATGAGTGGACGAGGCCTTTACATAAGCAGTATGCTTTAGCTACAAGAGATAAAGCCATATTCTTGAGAGTTGTTGGAGCAAACTAAGTTAAAACAAACAAACAAAACAAAAACCACCCCTGTACTTCCTACACAACATGGAAGACAAAATAAGACAGGAAGACATGCCAAGAATTCTTTGCAGCAGTTCTGTTGACTAGAAGGCTGAAGAGAAACAATTAGTCCTCCTTGCTCATCAGGGTCACTCAAGAGCTAACTAACTATTCAGACCAATCTCAGAAGGGACTCCAAGCAACAGGAGGATCAGCAGACATACCCCTCAAAAAGGGGAGGTTCATCAGAAGTAGGTTACATTCAAAAAACACTGCACTTGACATTCTAGGTCAGAAACTTCCTTGCCAATGGCTCCAGTTTCTCCAGAACTAAACAGGTAACACTTAGTGTTATGACCCTTCAGACAAGCTTCTAACTGTAAATCTCTAACACGTTCGAGTCTGCAGAGACTTTTGAACAGTAAACTTGAAGTGATAACTGACAAGTATCAGTAGAGTTTGGCATTAAATTCACTGAATCATTTCAAACATGCTTAGTTCTAGAGGGGAAAAATTGTTCCGCAAGTATTTATTTCTGTTTTGGTGGACTTTAAACACTCCCCAGTATCCCCAATTTCTCTGAAGAGGCTATTCCATAACTTAGATCTTAACGTCAGGGCAAATGTACACAAAAAGCCAGGTCTCATGCAGTCACCAACTCTACTTTTGCCCCAGTTAAATACCAAATTTTAGATCAAATGCAGCTTGCTGTCTTTATATAATTCTTTGCATCCTATTTACAATTATTTAGGTTAGTAACCACTCTTCAGTGAACAAAGATATAAACATTAAAGTAAGTCTTATAAAATGCGAATACAGTACAATATACAGAGTCACTGTTGCTTGATCATGGTACAATTCACATTTTACAGAAAAACCAAATTTAAGTTAACATTTCAGATACTTTTAGTAAAGCTATGCATTTCAAAAAATATTACACAGTACTGTATTTGACATTCAGATATTCCAGTCCCCGTTCAGACTGAGATGAACAGCACATTTATTTTATTTACAAATGAGCAAGACAAGTAAACCTTACAATCAGAAAGGTAATGAAGGGATCAGCAGTCAAGTGATAACTATTTTTTCTTTTAAAATAACCTTAATAACATGTTATGGTTTGTTGAACTCACAGCAGTAAAAAAGGAATTAGACTCCCTTTTAAGCAAGTAACCAATTTTAGGTTTCACTTATACTTGCTAGTGTTCATGTCCTGCATGTTAAACAGACTCAGACAGGATCACTGTGTACAAGGCCTACACAGCTGTGTTTTCCTCAAAAGGCATACGTGTACAATCCAGTCTTAAACAGTGTTTAACAACCATGACTATTAGACAGGGAGAAGTTACTTAGCAATACTATTAAGCAGTCATGTTCAAATGACATGATATTTGAGAGGTCAAAACAGCTTTTTTCCAGTTTAAGTTCATCACTTCAGGGGGAATTTTTGAAAGGCTCAGAAGACATTGCCAGATAAAAAGAGTACAAATCCCATGCCTGGAAAGGAAGGCTCTCTTTCCAAGTCAGATGCATTTAGTTGACTTAAAGTAAGTTGAAGGAGTGGTTGACAGTGGGATACAGTGGCTGAAGCCCCAGGATGAATGCAAAATTGCCCACTCAAGGTCTCCAAACCCAAGCTTATACACATCACCCACAGGAGCAATTGTCTTCTCACTCTTAAGTTTAAAGCCTACTAAAATGGCTTTTGCAGCATGTTTTAAGTTTCTTTCTTCCCCCAATAATTAAGTTAAATCATTCAAGGCTATCTTCAAGGCTTGGGCAAAAGATGTCCTTTGTGCGGCTAGTTTAGCTACTACAGAATTCTACAATGGTTGACAAAGCTGAATCAAGCGTGAACTCCTATTGTACCTGTTTCCATGGATCTGCAAATGAAAGAGGGGAGAGGTGGGGAGGAGATGAAGAGGTAAAACTCAAAAAAGGTTCTCTTCCACTTGTCCACATCAAATGAAAATTGACAATTATCTGAGCTAATGAATATCACTAGAATTCAGACTGATTGGTTTCCCCAACAAAAACAAGCCTAGAGTACAAGGTAACTGTTACAGACAGAAAAAGCTAGGAAGAAATAAGATTATTCAAATATCCAATTGGTGCAGACGATGACAACTGTAGTGCTACTGAGACCAGATCAGGTTTTGGTGTCAAGGTTACTGATCAACTAAACATGCAAAAATACTAGTCAGCTGCAGCCACATTAGTTAACTCAGTTCATCTGATATTGAGGAGTGCAATACACAACAATGCATTAAGTCTCTAGATACATTTTTTCAGCCAGAACTATTCACCAGAAGTATCCTTTTAGTTCAAAAGAAGATTTTTGGGACATCTTAAATTTACTTCCATCCTGTAGGGCAGCCACCAGCATGCCAGTTTCAAAGTACTACTTGGGGCTGTTACCATCTTGAAATTCAATTTACCAGTAATATAAAAAAAGTAGTCTTTCAAGAAATTCCAGTGAAGGAGCTCAGAAAAATCTGTTAGAAACCATTGCTGCATATTTATTTTAATAAAAGGGCAGATTTATTCATGTTTACAAACAGTTCGAAAACAAAAAAAAAACAAAACACCCCTACGTAAGCTATCCACTAATAGCTTTTCAAAATGCCAACAGCCCTCATGCGGTATGAAAGGTTCTAGAGGATTAGGAAAAAAAAAAAAATAAATAAATAAAAAAGTCACAGTTCCACTCACAGTTCAAAAGACAGCACTAAGCTAACACGTTTAGACAAAAACAAAAAGGACTAAGTTTCTGATGTATTTTGATTTAATCCATTTTGCCTGAGATAACAAGAGTATTTCAAGCAAGTTCCATCACACTGATGTCCTGCATTAAACAATCCTACTAAGTTCGAAACAAAAGTTATTCAGTAAGTTTCTCAAAATTTTTAAAAATTAAGCAGTTGTTGTTTCAAAACCATTAAGTAGTAAATGTATTTAAGAAACTAATTAGGACAGAGGCCATAACTTCATTAGAACACCACTGCTCATGTTTTTACAAAGCATTAGTGTCATCTATTTGGCTATTAGTATCAGCAATTTATCTACAATATTTAACAAGGTAAATTGCAGGCAAAATTTAGTACAGTTTCAATAGAAACACCCTTTTCCTGAAAATACAGCAGTATTTGAAGGACTATTTTTTTCTTCTTTTCTCTGCATCATTTATAAGGAAGCTTCCCATCTATGAACAGGAACAAAAAAGTATCTACAAACCTTGTAAACAGATCTGCATCATTTATAAACATAAATAATCCAAATTATTAACAGCCAACAGCAGAAATTAAAGTATTAATTCAATGATCCAGGGCCTCCTTGCCCTTCCCAGCCCCCCGCCCCCCTTCAAAAGGATCAAGATAAACTAAAGCCCTGCTAACACACTGTTCAGGACCATTCTTAAGTACAACTGATGATCCGCAGGTCACTTATGCCGAGTTACTGTTTCTGTCAAAGTTCATTATTACCCCCACCCCCAAAAAAGCACCCTCCAGTCTGGCAGAAAGCTTCTTTAAAAAAATAAATCTACATTCATACAAGTGTGTCTTCTGTTGAAGTCCAGGACAAGAATACAATCTTGTCCATCACAATGTGTGAAAAGACCCAGTTTCAATTTCTTTACAATGCAGCTAGTGTGTTAACATTCAGCTTACAATCAGAGTGATGTTTCCAAACTATGTAGCGGGCTCCCTGGGGATGAAGAGGTAGCAGACTTGTTCATGTCTGTTGTAAGGTGAATTCCACTGTCAACCGCATTGTTATTTTTATTGGGAGAGGGTGGGGGAGTAGAGTTACGTTTCGTTGGAGCATCATCTTCAGCATCAGTATCATCAATGAGGGGAATATGAGGCTCGGAATCTTCTATTCTAAACTCAGGATGTGTCATAAAATTGTGAATTGAACTTCGTGTCTCAGGCTTTTCTAAACCTTCATATAGGGAACTACGAAATGCATTCACCACTCGGATCTGTAAAGACAGGAAAACTCTATTAGTGGTCTGCAGGTTTGCTAGCGAAGAGCGGGGTTCTTATGAGTTTGAATCCACAAACAGCTATACATGAGTGAATCGAATTTGTATGTGATGCAGTGGAACTTGCAATAAACTGTAAAAAATGAAGAGCGTTTCAGTAGAGCACTGCCAGTCTACTACAGGAATAAAAATTGTGTAAGTGTACTGTAAAAAATTAAAGTATCTAAAAATTCAAATTAGCACTAAAATTGCTGCATTACTTGATATGGGCCAAGACTTTTTTTTTTGTTTTAATTACTCAAATTCTCCAATTTTTTTTGTTTTGGTACTTATTCACAAATTCAACAAGCTTTAAAGAACATTACTGAACATTAGGGAGGGGGGAGCTAAAATAAGTTAGAGCACACAGGGTTGCTATTTCTCATGCTAGGAATCACGTCACCAACTATGAAAAAGCCAAGCAAGTGTAAGCTGAATGTCACAATGATTGGACATTTACTCAAGTGTCATGCAAGCAATTCTACAACAGTTGTAAATAATCGAGTATATACCCATTTACCACAAGAGACTCTTTCAATATTGATTAGCAATGTATTCTACAGTTCAACAAATATTTAGCTTGTGAGTTACACAATGGACAATGTAAGCATTTTCCCTTATGCACAGAAGTTTTTCTTGATGCTTTCTGGAAAGTCAAGTCAGTCATCTGAAAGGCCTCCACAGAAGCCAGGAAGCATACATTTCCTTCTTGAGGATTTTTCATCTCTCAAGAATTCATCCACATGGATTACTGCATACACTATTAAAGCTACCATAAGAAACAGATATACAAAGCAAGAATACAAAGGAAAAAAACAGGGGAAAAAAAAATGTCCAAGCAATCCTGGCTAAGAAAGTATGTCTATACATGGACACAGTCTTTTCCTCAGAAGTCAGTCTGCGAGAGATGTATACAAGTCCAAAAAGCATCACAAAGTGAGAACATACAACAACTTGTAGGTTGTGTTAGTGCATCAAATTGCATTTCACCATAAAAACATGGTGAAAGTAATTTCCACCAATCATTTGATAAATTGAAAAACCTGAACACAATACATGCACATTTTCTTAATAGGTCACAACAATCATGGGTAACCCATGTTAAAATTCCAGAAGTTAGCCCTTGCATTCAGAAATAGAGTTTGAAATTGCTTTAACATTGCAATAAGTTGTTATACTCAAGGTTAGTGCAAAACTGGTAACCTTAGCTAGTAATTGAAAAAAGTACAATAAGATTCTCATTAAGATCAAATGCTAAATCACACAGATAGAAGGCAGATATGTACTAAAAAAAATGTATTAGGAAATCTCCACACTTGAATTGTTTATTGAGGCTCTCTAAACACTGTAATAAGAGCTGGGTATTAACCTCACTTTATTGGCCAAAAACCCCAAAAAGCCTGAGGAACATCAGTTAAGCAATCTGTTTAAGACTACACAATAACACGTAGAATTTTTGAAGACCGAACACCTGCCCAACCCCAAGTCCACTGAATTCACCAGTACTGTCCAAGGATTTATGGCAAAATAACTGAATTGGTGTTATGCACTTTGAAGTCTCCCCCTCCCCCACCCAAGTTTAAAGACTTCAGCATCCGTAACTTTGCTCATGAACAAATTCCACTTAAGCATATTCTATTCTTTTCTTTGATGTTAGTAGTAATTCAGTAGTAACTTCCATCCCCTCCATTTGATTTGTTTTAATGTAACAAACCCAAACAAACAACCACTACTCCAGCCGTACAAGTAAAATTACACCTGTAGAACCCAAGACAACTAGTGAAGTTGGCTAAATTTAAGAACTTTTGCCCAAATCGTTTTTTGAAATTGAATCTGAAAATAGATACCGGTTTAAAAATCTAATTGAAATTCTCAGAGGGAGAAAGTTTGGAAAAAGTGTCAAAATGCAATACTGACTACTTCTAAACTAGATTGTTTTGCCTGTGTCGAAGTGACTTTATATTAGTTCAGTAAAAAAATTAAAGTTCAAAACCAAAAATTTCACCAACCCAAACAAGTTTTTGGATTTTGAGCTTACCAAACGTTTGAAGCAGGACCTTTTTAAATTCAGGGAGCTTTTCAAGCTTAAATTTCTGTAGGATAGAACTAGCTTTAGAGGCACTGAAGAAATGCATGCATGAAAAGTCATTTTCTAAAGGACAAACACATGGGCAAGACTAACATTTCTTGCCCAGTATTATGCTCCATCTAGTTAATACTAAAAAAGGATTTTTACCTAACTAGAACAAAGATCTTCAGACAGCTTACCATCAAGTGACAGTATCAGTAAAAGCTTCAGGTAAAATCTTCCACCATTCAGTGAAGCTTGATTATTGAGAACTAAGGTATCAGGGCCCTTCATTAAATTGAGATTCCTGTTACAAAAGCTTTAAGGAAAAAAAATCTGAGTATTTAAAACCAAGAGGCCAAAGACTGGAAAACACATTAATGATATGCCAAAATGAAACCTAGATAATTAAAAAAAGAAAAGCATACACTATGGTATACCTCAAAAATAGCCCAAACATTTTTACAGTGTGATAATACGTTTGAATAGAGGCAACAGTAGTGTTGTGCACTGCCTGTGTTGAAACAAATGAAAAATATTGAACATGCTCCATTTTAGGCTGAGGATTCATGCAGCTTCAAAACAAAGAAAGTCCTTTTGACAGTGACCTTTTCCTTCAGCTGCTGGGCCTAGATGGGGTTTTCAGATTGCAGCGTAACAATTAAAGAAGGGCCAAAGAAATATGCTACCCCTTTATTTACCAGCTGATAAGGCCACACTAAAGGAGATGAAAGAAACATTTGGCTATATGTAATGTAACTGGACCTAGATGTTACAATAACAATATTCAAAGTGGATGGGATACCTTTACAAGGCAACCTCTTTGCCACAATAAAACCCATAAGTGTGAAAATAATCTTCTGGCCTAGATATCAACATATTGTAAACATTTTTACATTGATCCAAGATGTAGCAGCATCTACATGCTATAAATGTTATAGCATTTATAAATGCTTATAAAGCATTTAAGCATTATGGTACAAATCAGAGAAGATGTCAACACCTTCCTAAGGAAGAAATGGAATTTTGTACAGGCATGAATTGCCCAGGTATAAAAGGTTGTTTACTTATGGAGGTATAGCTTACTTGAGAAGCATTTCAACACAAAGGGTTTCTGGGGGAACCAAAAGCATCTCAAGCAGATTTCTGAGAGAGGCATGCTGGAAGTAGTTGAATGCTGACTTCTCCATCCTTTAAGATGTAAAAGCTATCAATAGCTTACTGGAGGAAGTGCACTATACTCCTTAAGGGTATTGTAGGAAGGGATTTTTTTTTCTGAACAAACAGAAAAGGTGTGTGTGTTCATCAGCTAAAACACTACTCTGACAAAGCAAAGGTCAGCTTCCCCACACTATCGTATACCCTAAAGTTACTTCATTATGTGAAATAAGAGGTTTTACCTGGCTAATAGACTAGAATCAAGGAACATTATAGTTATCCACTAGCATTCTAAATAGCTAAGAGCAATCCTGCAGATCCCAATCCCCACAAAAGTTAGGATTATACTTTATATAGCACCTTGTGAAAAACCACTTTTTGAAACACTAAATCCATGATTTAAGCCTCACAACACCCCTGTGAGGTAGGGAATTAGCCTCATTTTACAGATGGCAGGTAACCCAGGCTCACATAGGAAGGCTGTGGCTGAACCAACGAAGCCAGAATAACAACCTTCCAAGACAACTCCTAAAAGCCTTTAAAAACAGTGGTTCTCAGCCTTTTCAGACTTGAAGTACCCCTCAAAGATGCCAGCTCTTACAATTTTTTATACTTTTTTTTATTATTACAGAACCAAAGCAATTCTTCTGTTGCAAAGAACTCAGAAAAACCACCTCAGATCAGAATATTTTTCATACTATAAAAACCTATTTGGAGTATCTGGGTTTATCTTATAAATTGTGTTTGCACACTTAACAGTGTTAACAGTGTGTGGCACCCTTGAAAGGATCAAGACACCCTAAGGTGCCATGGCACTCATTGAGAATCACTGCTTTAAAAAGATACCTTTCCATGAGTTTCACTATTAAACTGCTCCACTATAAAAAGATACTTGGCTAACTAGCCACAATGATCATTTAGCCAGACTGTCTTAAAGTGACACTTTGTTTAAAAACATTAAGGTTAAATCATTAGGATGGAAACAATTCCTCCTCATACCCTCTGCCTGCCCTTTTTTTTTTTTTTAAATATACACACAGTTGTGTAAAATTTTTATACTACATCTGTTCCCCCAGATGTAGTATAATACGTTCTTTTACGTTCCATTATGCAATTTTATTGCATCTGGGGGAACGTTTGTTCACCAGAGCGCCCCAAGGGATGATGAGGTCGAATGGTCACAAACTACTTCAAGATCGTTTCAGGCTGGACATAAGGAAGAACTTCTTTACTACTTTACTGTCCGAGCCCCCAAGGTCTGGAACAGCCTGCCACCGGAGGTGGTTCAAGCGCCTTCATTGAACACCTTCAAGATGAAACTGGATGCTTATCTTGCTGGGATCCTATGACCCCAGCTGACTTCCTGCCCTTTGGGCGGGGGGCTGGACTCGATGATCTTCCGAGGTCCCTTCCAGCCCTGATGTCTATGAAGTCTACTTTATAGGCACAAAAGAGTTAGATTGTAACAGTTGTATATCTTCAATTCCCCAAACTTCTAGATATTAGAGATTAAAATTAATGCGCTTTGTCTTAACTGAGGAAGGCTGAAACCACAGTGCCACTTAGTTATGACAAACATCGTTTCTCACTGCTGCTGAAAGAGCCTGGAGAAGAAGTCACTAAAGTCTGAAGAAGGTTTTACCATGCAATGCTTGACATTTCTTATTAAAGTGGTTTAATACATCCATAGTTTTGCACCAAGTTTGTAATTTGTACTACTGTTTTTAAGCATGCAGAGCAGGCATTTTACCAACCAAGCCCTGGAATTTCTTAAAATGTTTGTATCTAGTTAGAAAATCACACCCAACAAAAGCAAGCCACCATCCAGGAACAATTTTGATAGGATTTGCTCTTTTAGAATTCTTTAAAATACTGTCTAGAGTAGTGTTATAAGCTTCAAATCAAATTTAAATCATAGCAAAAGTAGGAAAAGTTAATATTGTATGCATATTTTTTCGTGTTAGTTACAGATGCTATTGCTTACTTTTGTTGGCTCAGTTATGTTCCATCAGGTATAAACATTTTAAAATAATCACTGTTAAAGGCATATACTCGAAAATTTACAACAGTTTTCCTACTTTCAGTTTTTAAAACATCCCCCGTACACAAATGGATGAAGGCACAGTATATGCAGGCTCACAGCTTTCATATTTAAGTCTTTTGTTGCAACTGTTCCACCTGTTCTCTAGCCCTCTAAGAAAAAGAATCTTGAGGACTCCACTTTGTGAAAAGAAAGCTTTATGAAAAGCCTGAACGATGAATACTAAGGAGAAAATGAGAAACGTTAGGTGCGTGAATTAGGAAATGTTAATTTCATGCACTTTAGGAACACACACTCACACCCCACAGTAGTAGAAGTAGTAGTAGAGGAAAACACTACATGTGTAGGGGTAGAAATATTTGTTACATCATGATGCTGGCTGGCGATGGAGGGTTGCCGCCTTAGAGCCCCCTGAATGGTACTTCCACTCTGGAAAGCATTCACTACATCCATCTGCAAGGAATCAGAGATTGTGACAGCTTGCTCAGCAAGAGAGAGAGAACAAGAGAAAGGACCATCCCATCTATGACACACAAAAAGTAAAAGAGAAAAGGCACTTTTTACAGAGTAGATATACAAGCAAGGAGTTTTATTTAGAGCTGAAGAAAGTGAAAAGAGAGCTTGAGGGATTACAGAGCCATCCATACCCAATCTTGAGGAGAAAAAGAAAGTCACATAGTTTAAAAGTCACCTTACTGGGTGAAAAGGAAGGAGGGGGCAATTCCTTAAAAAAAAAAAAAAAAAAAAAAAGGCCCTCAACCCCCAGGTCCTACCTTTTTCCAAGACCATACCTGAGTCTGTATCCTGTTCAGGCCCCTAAACCACAAGATCTGACCACGACGCAATTCTCTTTCAGCATGATCAATCTCTTCTACATCTTCTGCTAACTCTTCCTCAGGAATCTCATCCTTGTGTGTTCCGTGGCCAGCTTCTTTAAGGAATTTCAACCGGCTGGTTGGAATTGTTGAAATCAACTTAAGAGGGAAAGATGCATAAAGTAGTAAAACATTTTTTCCTTCAATTTAGTTATATCATAAAAAGTTGTTTCAAGTTATACTGAAGATTACTTTACTTTTAAAGGCTTTGCTTGAAAAGATGCAGCTAGTTATAATATAAAAGCTAACAGCCCAATACTATTTATTCAACATTGCTGTAACCCCTCCAGAGAGCTGCAAAGCTGATGACAGAGTGAGTTAAGCATGTGAGAAAGCCACAAATCAGCTTGTGCGCAAGATCTTCCCTGACTTTCCCTGCATTTGATTTCAGTTTCTCATACTACTACATTAGTTTAGCATACAGCTGCATTCCCTGTTTTTACTGCAAGTGACCAAAGGCTAAAATATTAGATTCTATAGATCGCATGTGTTGGTTCATTTAGTTTGGGGGTGGGGCTCATTTAAAAAGTGACACACAGGAAGTTTCTGGCAAGTGGTACCCCCCCCCTTTTTTTTTTTTTTTTTAAACATGAAAGCTCCACCCCCCCCCATTTAACATGAAAGCTCTAGTAGGGGGTAGTAAAGGGACCATACAATTAATAATAATAATAATAAAAAAAAAAAAAAAAAAAAAAGATTTTGATTCCTTTGTAAACAGTTCAGAAGGTACTGAGGAAGCGAGACGCACATACAAGTTCCACTGAGAATTTGCAAGACACGACAGAGCCCAAAAGCATGGAACAGCCAGAATGGCTGTCCCCAGGTAGACTGTGGTCCACAGCAGGATTTGTATCAGATAGCATCCTGGCCGAATTGGACAGAGTCAGGAAACCAACTGACAGGGTGCTCTTGGCTTCTTTCCCTGCCCCAGACTCCCTCCTTGGACAGCTGTAAATCTAGGAAGAGCCAAATAAAAATTCAGCCTGCTTTACTCTAGGCTCCCAAGCTCAGAAAGGCATGAGGCAGCCAGATGCTCCTTTCCTTTCCTTAGCCATTGAGCTTTTCAGATATTGCACCAGACAATGCGACAACAGCTACCAGAACGTTTCCAACTCGCACCAAAACTGCAAGAGGACAATGGGTGATAGCTGGGAATGTAATACACTTACCTTTCCATAGGAATATTGGTGGGAAAAGTGATATGGGAAGAAGAGGGGACTCAAGCTTCAGTTAAGTGTTTCAAGGCACTCAAGAGAACAAATTCACATTTGTAAATTGAGTACAAGTCACTCAAAAGCCACAATTTCATCAAGAAATTTAAGGCTTTGGTTGGACATGACTTTAAAAGTTGTACTAGTTACAAAGTTACTTTCAAGCAGATAGAATGCTTGTGTAGGCCAATTTTATAAAAAGATAATTATGTTCAAATTTGGCTGAATAGTTTTTGCTTTATGCATGTTTGCAAGTATCATTGGTAAATAATCAGTTTTGTTATTTCTGCTCAGACTCTGGACTACGAGCGCATTAGCCCCTTCTTGAAAAAAACTGATGCAATTGTGCTACATGAGGTAAATCTTCATATCTCCACCCACTCAGTGTCAGCCAAGTAGCATCTATTGCCATTTCTTCCAGAAGTGGGCAAATGTAGTTCTCCCACGATCTTTGAAGAGCCCAGGGGGTGATGGAGTTCAAAGTCAAAAGAGTCTTGCAAGACGCAAGGTATACAGATCACTAAACCTAGGACGAGAAAAGGCTGAAGTGTCCAGATCCTTCATCCACAGCCACCAATTCAAGCCCCAGGAGTGCCAGTTTATTATATGGGTCTTGTCAAGCTCATTCATATACGAGATCCTGTTTTGCTGCATGGGAATTAAGTTCTATGCTTTAAATGCAAGGGCAAGCCATTTGTTTCCACATCATGATTGTTCATATACACACACACACACACACACGTGTGTGTGTGTGTGTGTGTGTGTGTGTGTGTATGCGCACAGTTTTTATACTCAAGCACAAGTCTGTGGTGTGTGAAAGTGTCCCTCGCAAAATGTGATCAAAGACCTGATGAAGAATGTCTTGCATGACTAGTGGGGTTAGAGTTGTAGCTGTGATGTCTAGGACATGTAGAAGAGGCAAGATTTGTCATGCTTTTTAAATTTCACCAACCAGATAGTTGGGCAAGTCAGACAATAATCCTTTGGACATTTCTCCCAAACTATGCAGTTGGTTCAATAAAGATCACAAAAACCCTCACTTTTAGTATATGGGTAGTGAAAAGTAGAAAAGATTTTCCAAGTCCAAAGTGTAGGTCACAATTGCAGTATGATGAGGGGAGGACAATTAGATAGGGCAAGTTTGCTCCGTCTCTCAAGTGAATTTATGGATACGTATGTACCATAAGAAAGCCATCTCTTCATTAAACATTTTGCTCATGCAAGAAGCTTCCAAGTACTTCATGTTGTTTATAGGTTTCAGTCCTTATAGCTGTTCCTGAAGTGCTGAAAGTTATTTTAGTTAATCATAGGAAACAAATTTTGAAAAAACAGTATCTGGCTATAAGTCAACTAAATTGTGTTGATATTTCCAGTTTAACTATTCCTAATATCAGCACAGTCCCTTGATACAAGAGGATGGTGGTCTTGTAGTAGACAGAAGAGTAGTCCGAATTGATAGAGGACTAGGGAGACTAATCAAAGAGCCGCATGTTAGGAGTGTACACATGGCAAGTAGTTCTGGAAGAGGCATAGAACCTGGTAATGTCTGGCCGCCCATTCCTTCCCTTTGTCTCTCCATAGTGATGAGAGAAGTTTGCTTGAAGTGATCATTATTGCACCAAAGGAGATGATTTGGTTCCCGAGTCTCACAACATTAATTCATATCAACTTTCAAGGCATCCTCTTTTGCCCACCTCCAGAGCAGTGACCATTGGCGAGTTGGGAGCATCTTTATGACATGTCCTGTCTAATGGAGCTGGTGCCATATGAACATATTCCACATCTTGATGGTGTTTGCTTAATCCAGAATACCGGTGTTAATTTTTCTGTTCTTCCAAAAAAACTGCTGATAGTAACATCTAAAAGCTTTCAGGTGTTTCCATGCCATTCATGTTTTTAATATCACCCACTGTTAACTGGTATTGCCATTGGTTTTGCACACCCACTGATTACATTTACATACCTTGAAGCTTTGGTTCCTACATATGTTAAAGCTGTTCTAATATTTTTAGTAAACTTCAGACGTTATTTGAGCAAGACACTACAACCGAGAGGCGCACTGTTCTAATCTGGCACTGCTAAAATTATGCTTAACCTAATACTTCAACTGTAACTAAAAAATTGCCATTTCTTCGCTCCAAGGCTATGTATATGTAAATGCATACAGTCTACTGCATTCCATGCAACAAGCTTTAGTTTTGTTTAGATGCATTGATGCGGTGCTTATATGCAGGATAACAACCTAAACATGTTTATAAAATAAAGTTAAAATTTAGTGACTTTTATTCTACCAGGATAGTTAGCTTGTACTAAAGGTTTACCTGGCCCCAGAGTAGTGTTCCCATACCCAGGAAAATGGACCACAGCCACTGTTCTACTGTAAGTTCTGAGCAACTAAAAGGTTTCCCACCAAACTGTACAATGATTATCTGTGGGGGGGAAAAGGCATAGTAAGAGACCATTTGTAGAATACCGGGAATCAGTAAATCTATGCAAGTGTTTTAAACAATCTCCAAAACTTTTTACATTAAAGTATTTGGAACCTTACCACCAATACCATCTTCAAATGAAAAAAACTTAAGTTTCTAAAGCTAAAAGATAAAATAATTCTCCTTCCTGTTACTTGTACTTTTAGTTAGTTTATTTACTTTACTATTTCAAATTAAAAGTATTTTTCTTCAGTCCTACATTTAGAAACAGCTAATGGCCAACCTCTACCAGATTTTAGGCAAGCAAAAGCCTTGCGATCAGTTTTTGTTCTTCATTTCTAACGTGACAGATTTATAGCACAGAACACAAGTTGACTCTTCTTTATATAAAATGGACTGTATAGTGGACTTTGTTACTGTTACTTAGAATGAAACTGGTCTGGCTAGTTTACAATACCAGTCATAGTCCATAGGCAAGTACAAGCACTCAAACATCATTTCTGAATCTCAAACTTGAAGCTTACTGTCACTACACATGTACAAAAGGTTAAGGAGTTGGTCAAAAAGCAGTGGCAAACCAGAAATGTGAACTGTGGTAGTTATTCATGCATTGTTTAGTAAGGGCAGCCAAATGTTTTTGCTTTAACTAAATTTTCCACAAGTCCCTAAAGTGACAAAGATCAACATTTGCTCAACTGGAGTATCAGCATTTAGTTTTCCCAAATACCCTTATTTTCCCCCTTAATCCTCAAATTATAATTAAAAAAAAAAATTACTGCATTTCAAAATCTTAAATTGCTAAAGAAAAAAAAACATGAAATCATAGAATGACAAATCAAGAGAAGAGCAAGCCAGTTTTGGCCTTTGTTTATTGTTACATGTATTAGTTTGGAAAGAACACATGGGACTTAGATGAAAATGTATTAAGATGACCTATGCTAAAAATCTGACCAGTTCTCCATACAAATTTGTTCCACATACAAAAAATGCCTGTCATCATAAAGACCAGACTAAATTAACAGTGCTTACTATAACTGCAAGACACTGATTCAAATTTTGGTCTTGGCTGGGTAGTTTGGTTACCATTTATCAGAGGTGGTAAATAAAAAAAAAAACTGCACATAAAAAGGTTGGATTTCAGCATTGTTCTACATAAGACAATAGCCATAACCTGCCATTAAGGATCTACAATATGTAAAATTCTTGCGATTTACAAGAACACAACTAAGGCCTGAAATTACAACATTTCATTAAAAGGAATAAGTGGTTTTGGACCAAAATTAAACTCCACGAGAAAAAAAAAAAAAAGGGGCAGGATCCTTTATTCAAGGAAGCATTTGATACTAGCTTTCTTTCAAGTATTATAAAATTGGATATTGCATAAAATAGACACCTATAAACCTGAACAGTTTACCTTGGAAATATTAATGAATTTAAGTAACAATCAAGTTGAAACATTAGCAATAAACTCTTTAAAGTGACCTACCTGTACAATAAACGTGCCGAGTACAATAATACAAAAGATAGCATTGTTGAAAATTCCTTCAAACACATTTCTTTCACCATGGATTTTTCGAGCATTAATTTCATTAAAAAGCTGCATCATCACAAATGTATTAAACACAATAGTGTAATGCTCTGAAGGAGGAGCATGAAGAGGTGCATTTCTTCCACTATCAATATCAAACATTTTCTCACCTGTTTATATAAAAAACAGTATTGGAATTCAGGTGCACAAGTACACACACAATACTAGGACATAACTGTCAAAAAACTGAGGTTCCAGAACAAGAGCTATACACCTAGTTTTTAGTATTGAGATAATCTAACAGCTTTAACCTATGGAAAGTTAAACCTTTACAAAAGAAAAAATATTCTTACCAGCAAACAGGAGAGTAAAGACTACCACAAGTTGATAGAACGCATGACCCAAAATATTCTTCATCATCGTACGAGAAATCAGAGGTTTATTTCTACCATAAGGTTTCCGGAGCAAGAGAGATTCAGTGGGTGGTTCCGTTGCCAAAGCAAGAGAAGCCAGTGTGTCCATTATCAGATTTACCCACAACATCTGCACAGCTTTAAGTGGAGAATCCTATAAAAATATAAAGTTTCCTAATGGATAATAAATATCCTGAAAACAAACATGTTACAAGCATCAAGTACATTTACTAGAGAGAAGTTTGATGGTATGCTTTTAGAAGAAAAACATTCTTCAGTACAACACTCAAAATAAAGGCAGTTTCAGTAGGAAAGTCTTAACTACCTAGTTATAATCTTTAAAATTATTTCAAACTACCATCAATACCTACTTGTGTTATACATGCTCCTGTGAAAGCAACAATTACTGCTACTACATTGACAGTAAGCTGGAACTGAAGGAATTTGGAGATACTGTCATATACATTTCGTCCCCACATAACTGCTTTAACAATGCTTGTGAAGTTGTCATCCGTAAGAATAATATCAGAAGCTTCTTTAGCTACATCTGTTCCAGCAATACCCTGTTAGGAAGAAGATACACAACATTGTTCCATGTGTTGTCAATCAGCATGATTACATGCATTATTATTATTATTATTATTAAACTGCAATTTAACAAGAATGATATACTCATGCAGGCACTACATATACAAGAAATGAAGAATGTGTTGTAAAGAGAATCAGACTCAAGATCCAGAAAAGCTGAAAACTGTTAGTGTTCATATAGCATATCATGTTAAAAAGGAAATAAATTTGAACTTGATGATGATTGAGGCAGTCAACCTTTAACTGACTTACAGCCAGAGTAAGGTCTGTAAGTAAATCCCCATTTTAGGCAACTTCAGGAGCTCAGAGTCATTAAATATTGTAACATGGCACTAATGCATGTTCGGGGGG